CTCTTAAAAAAATCCCTTTCACAGTGAAATTCTCACTGAATTAATCTCTAAGTACACCCTTTTAATAAAACAAAGTCCATAATACAGCCCTGAGTGTTCACCAGCAGAAGAGGTACTCATTCTAGAGCAGTGGACATTGAAAGCCTTGATTATGATCAACAGAAATGATGAACCACTGCAAAGAGAGTAGGTTTAGAAGCAGCTCTGGTGCTGAGTTATTGCTGCTGTAAGTTGAGCAACACTAGCTTTGTATAGGCATCAGCCAGACAATGTAAATGCATCCACTTTCCTTTTGAATCAATGGATTATCTGTACTTTGTGTGGCAGTGGCAGAAATCTGCATCCATCCAGTTTCACAAATAAATATGTGGTCTTCCTCAGAACTCTTCTGTTTAAGAAGCCACTTAACCTGACAAAGACCTGACAAACATATTTAATGACCTTCCTATGTCATTAAATATCTTCATTTAAGGGTGTGAATTATCTTGAGGAGAGTTTAACTTTTGAAGATGGCATAAAACAGGTAACAACAGATTCTGGACACAGTAGAATAAAAGATCAGCAAAGATGGAGAAATCCACAGGAAAGAACCGGATTTTGGAGGGACTGAAGGCTTGAAAGGTTGCAGACAATTGCAAACTACAAAAACAAGAGAGAAAATAAAATAACAGTCTTAGATTTATGTTACTGAAGAAAGGAAAATAAGAAAAGAATCTCAGACTGCTACACTGACATTAATTAAGGTTTAGCAGCCCTAAAAGCTTTGGCAGCCTTGGCCCCACTTTCACAGGAAGAAAACAACATATTGAGAGATGAAACAGCATTGTTAGAGTGCAAACACAGGGTCCTATTGGAGGTCAGAATGAGACGTGACTTTGGTCAGTTCCTAGTCTGCATCATAAAAGCAGGATTCAAATTATAGCAATTTCACACAGCTATAAATGTAATTCCATTACTTCCTCTCCTCTTCTTTAATCACAGAGGTTATCTTGTTTCTGTTCAGAGCACAGCACCCCTGGACACTTCAGCGGGGTCAAACCTGCTTCATTCTTCATAGAAAATGGTATGCTAGTGGTGGCCACATTCTCATTAGTTTTAAATGAAGATCAAAACCAGGAGGATGAGGCCAGTACAGATCCAGTGTAGTGAGATCAGCATGATGCAATTTCTCTCTGAGGTAAAATTATTCTGTTCAGCCATTCACAGAAAATCGTTAAGACTATAAATAAGACTCCAAAGACCAATAAAAGAAGCATGAGGGAAGAGAAAGATAATTCCATATATACAATGCCTACATACACATTTATGATCATTGTTTTGGGATTAGGTAAATATTAAGCATCAATTTTGCCAGGTACCATTTAGTGCTTGTAGTTGGACTTTTCTGTAGACCTCACAGGAGAAATAGGTCTTGGCAAGGCAGTTAGAGAGGCAAAGAATTAGGGAAAGTAGATTTACAAGTCTTTTAAAACACTAAAGTGTGTTACTAAATGCATTATTATAGGTACTGAGACTAATTAAAGTTCTGCAACAGCCATCAGTTTCAGTAAAGAGATCTCTCTGCTCACTAGGATTAAGTTTGCTCCAGCAGCAAGATTTATGTGAAACTACAGTGAAACACATTACAGAACAAGTGTTGTTCGATTCACACATGCTGGTCTTCAGTGTCCTCCCAGAGTGCAACCACTGTGTGCTCCATCTGCAGCTACCTGCAATCTCTTCCAATAACCTAAATTATTACTACAGTTCAGGCAACAGCTGTAGGACCCCTTTTCAAAGAATACCATCCCATGTCTATAAACACACCCTCTAAACTGGGTGTCAGCACTGTTTTTGCAGAATACTACAAAATTTTGCTCAGGAGATTAAATGTTGTACCAGTACAAATAACATGTGTCTACAAAGTGAAGTTTTAGAGAACAGAAAAGCCTAGATGCAAAATTTTGCCAACACATAAATGCCATTCTTGAGACATGTAGTAGATCTACCTGTCACAAGCATTATTCACCTGTTGAATGAAGCTTGGTGGGGGGGTCTCTTGACTTTAGAAATGGAACACTTCACCCAAAAAAAACCCTTTGTCCCTGAAGAGAAAAGGCTGTTTTCTCTATTATACCAACTATATATTATGAAAATATTTTCTCTATTAAACCAACAAATTCAAACACTCAACACATATGTAGTTAATATATAAAACTACATTGTTTCAACCATATCCTCCTCATTCCACACTATTCCCTCTGCTGCTATCAGCTTGCTTAACTTACTGAAAGATAAATTCCTGATTATCATTAGTTATGTTTTAGGTACTGTAAACATTTGTAAAGCTAAGCAATAAAACAAAAATAATATTGTGATATTATTAAAACAAGAACAGGGTGAAACAAACACATGATAATTATGAAAGATACTGGGCTATGTTTGCACAACTTGGGTATATTTTTAGGACAGGGTGTCTTAGTGACAGAATGTATGAGAGAAGAGGAATTTCTGCCTGTTCCACTGAATTATTTTATTGACTTTCTAAATATTCCGGACTAAAGTCTTTCTTATAAGGCACAGAAAATATTTTTCCATCCCACAGGTGTACTGTGAGAATTACTCATCTGGTACATAGATAGTTCCCAGCAAATAAATATGTCACCAGTCATTGTTGGTATTACCTGTTCCTCACAGCTTCTGTGGCATGACAGCTGACTACAGCCCAGTGGGTGTATCACCAGTTATGATGTGGATGCCTTTTTTTATTTCTGGAGAGGCTATTAAACAAGGAGAGACCAAAAAAAAATCCTGGGTTTTGTGTTCAACTGTAGCTTATATGGTTTTACTTGTAGCCTCACTCAGGCTGAAAAGAACACTGAAAAAACTGGCTTGGTGTAGAAATTAACAAGGGTTCAGTTTTAAAACCAGAAATATAGGGAAAGTGACTGCCTTTGCTGGGAATCTATCCTTGTTTGCAAACATTTGGTCTGCAATTAAAACAAGGAAAGACTTTATAATTGGCTAGGGAAAACACAGTAACCTAAGTAAATAAGTGAAATATCCACACCCATCATATCTCTGGCACTGGTTCTTCAGTTCACTTCCCTACCAAGCAGTGCCAAAGTCCAAGGAGCTAACATCCCTTTAACTCTTAGTCTCCTCCGTTTCCCCTCTGCAACCCTATTAATGGTTAATCTATGCTCGGGATGAACTTGGATGACGTGTCTCCAACCCCTATAGGAAGTGCTATCTGATCTGGGCCACCTACCCCTGCAATAGCAATTTATTTTTATTGCTGTCATCAGGCATCCCCCACCCCCAGCTTCAATCCCAATTTCCACAAGTTCAGCAGAGAGCCAGCAGGAAATGCCTCACTCTCACTGTAAAACTGCCTGTGTGCCACAGCTTTGGAGCAGGCTCCTACCAGAGGCACTGCTGTGACTGCAGCAGCCAAGGACCAGCAGCACCCCAGACACTGGCACAGGGCTCTTGTCATACCAAGGTGTACCCCAGCACAGGAAGCAAATCTTTTCCTTATTAGTTTAATCCTATCTTCTATCCATCACTTACTGTTGTAGTAGTTTCTAACATTTCTTGGAGGCTCTTTGCACAAAAAGCTTTTAGAATTAAGTTCTCTGCACACTTCTTCGTTTGCCAAAAGTCTGCTCTGCCATTCTGCACGCACAAGGTGGGAGTCACTGTCCTCTCTAGCTTTGCACCAGTGACTTTACACACAGCTGAGTGATCCTGAACAAATATATGGGACTTTAATCATATTGTGTAGTACATTTTACTGGGTATGTAAGACTGTTGATGTTTTTTATCAGCTGGTAAAAAGACCAGTTTATCAAAAATGTGTTATATAGATGCTTGGTATGGCAAAACCCAGTTGAGGGTCAACTGCTGGTTATTGAGCTGAGGAAGCAGATGCCTGAGCTTTTTCCTTCCCCCGAGCTCCAGAAGATGCAGGACTTGGTGGACTTCAGGAGAATGCTGAAGTTCACCTACAGCCAATGACCTTTGGGGGCTCTATGGCCTTCCTCCCCTTTCACCTGGCTTCTGAGGAAGGACGAACTGAAGTGACACGTTGTCCTAGAGATGACAATCCATCCCCTGAGCAGGGCACCGCATCCCTGGCACCTTTGGCCAGGAGAGCTGTGCTGCTGGTGGGCAGCTGCCATTTTCCACCCCACAGGCGGCCCTGCAAAGAGATCAGCACTAAATCCTCCAATGCGTTTCTGCAGTTGAGTCTATACCGCCTTAAAATAAGACACGTTGATCAACAAGAATATCCTCCATCCCTCTTAAACGATATGGGTTTGAAATGCCTTGTTTCCCCGGCGTGTACTCTGGTGGCACGGCGGCTCCTCGATGAGGGGAGGCACTTCGCCAGCGGGGACAGAACCGCCAAGAGCCGACGCATTTTCTGTCAGGTTTTTAAGGCCTCGAAGCGTGAGGGAGCCGGAGTCCCTGCAGGCACCTGGAGCTCGGCAGATCCCCATGGAAGAGCCGGCAGGCGCTGCTCCCCCTGCCCGCCCTCCATAACCAGGCCGGGATTTTTAATCAAAAGCCTTATTGCCGGGGAGGCGGCGAGCGGAACCGGGCCGTGCAACGGCGGCGACTGCTCCCCTCGGCTCGGGGCAAAGCCCGGAGGGATCCCCGGCCGGACGGGCGGGTCCGCCCGGGATAGCCCAGCCCGGGCGGCCGCAGCCTGCGGGGAGCTGCGCTGCGGCCTCCCCACTCCCGCCCTCTTTCCCTCCCGTATCCCTGGGTCCGCCCGTATCCCTGCATTCCCTGCTGCAGCATCCCCTCCTCCCCTCAATCCCATCAGTAGCGGCGGCCCCGGGTTCGGCTCCCCGCGCTGCGGCGGCGCTCGGCGGCGGCTCCCCCCCCGCCGCGGCCGCCATGTTGGGCTGCAGCGCGTTCGGCGGCGGCGGTTGCCGCGTGTGACCGCGGGAGGGAAGGAGGGAGGGAAGGAAGGAAGGAGGGAGGGAAGGAAGGAGGGAGCGGCGGGGGAGAGGAGGGCGCGGAAGCGGAGGGAGGGAGCGAGCAGGGGAGGGAGGGCGCCGCCGCTACCCCTCCCAGCCGCCCCGCGCACGCACACACACACACACACACACACACACCCCGCACTCGCACCGCCCGAGGATGCCCTTTGCCCGGGGGGGCGAAGCCGGGACACCATCGCGCCGCCGGGAGTGAAGCCACCAGCACCACCGCTGCCGTCGTCGGGGCCTCCCGGCCCGCAGCGTGCGGCCGGAGCGGAGACGCCGGCGCTTTTCCTCCGCCTCAGGACGCGCACCGGGTGGAGGAGGAGGAGGAGGAGGGCGCCGTCTCCGCAGCAGCAGCAGCCGCAGCAGCAGCAGCAGCCATGGGAAGGATTTGACAGGGCTCGGAGCGCTTGTGCCGGTGTGTCGGGGCGCGCGTCCCGCCCGCCGCCCCTTGGCGCAGCGGAGGAGAAGGGGGCGACAATGAAGACTTTAGTTTTTTTGAATCACTGAAAAGCCTTAAAAGCACACTCGGTAAGGAGGAGGAGGAGGAGGAGGAAGGGAAAAGCTGCCCGGGGCAGGACGTGGCTGCGCCCTGAGGAGGGGGGGCTGCGCCCCACCCCGCGGTGGCCGCGGAGGCGCTGCCGGGGCCGGGGGAGGCGGCGGGGGGCGGCGGGGCTGCGCGGCCCCTCATCCCTCCCTCCCTCCCTCCCCGCCGGTGTGCGCCCTCGTTTCTGCTGCCTTTCGCTTATATAAATACGTAAATACATCTGTTTTTCCCTTCCCATCCGTCCTGGGAAGCGGAACCGGAGGGGCTGCTAGCCCGTGGTGCTGCGGCGGGGCTCCTCGCAGGATCGCGCTGCATGATCTGCATTGGGAATGAAGGAGAAGACCTTCTTAAATATATAACTGCGTGTGCCTATGCACGCACGGTGAAATCGGTGTCAGGCAGTCTCGGTTGAATTTGAGTGCAATTATTATTGTTAAAGCATCAGGAATGCTGTTTTTGCCCCACTTCTTACTAAGCCTATTAATTTTTTTTTTTTAGGATAACTATTTTCTTCTCTTAAATGTCATGAATACACAGATAGCCACACTGTATGTGTGTGCGCCTGAAACTCCAAGGGTTTAGTTTCAGGCTGGGAACACCGAGGTGGGCTGGCAATTAAGGACCGTCACAGTTTGACACTTGTTAAAAATACTGTTGACTTCTTTTTAAACAACAAAACCCTCAAAAGTTTTTTTTGTTGTTGTTTTTTTTTTTTTTGTTGTTGTTTTTCTGACAAAGTAATAATAATCATTAAAAAAGAAACCCCAATGCAAACTGAAACAACCATGTCTGGAGAAGTGCGTTTGAAGCAGTTGGAGCAGTTTATTTTGGATGGGCCAACACAGACTAATGGGCAATGCTTCAGTGTGGAAACCTTGCTGGATATACTCATCTGCCTTTATGATGAATGTAATAATTCCCCTCTGAGAAGAGAGAAGAACATCCTTGAGTATCTGGAGTGGGGTAAGTTTGAATGTGTTTATTTTGTGTACATCCGTCCATGTTCCTGTCTGCTTTGTATAATGTCTCTGTTATTTATGTGTGAGAGGGGATTGTTTATAACTCAGTGTTTTACTGGGAACTGTTGTCAGTTTCACTGTATTTGAATGTGGTGGTGGTGCTAAAAAGAAATCTGTATTGGTTTTTTGTCTTTGAGGTATGCATGTAAAACATGCTTCTTGTTTTTTTATTTTTCTTTTTTGACACGGATCAGACTTTTGTGTTCCTAGCCTATTTGTTTGCCTTTAGGCCCAGTTGTTGAGTTTTGTGTCCTAAAGTTGCTGGGAATGTGGAATGGTGAGGGATAAATTGTCTGATGCCTGCAAAAATATCAATGCACAATCCTCTGATTTGCTTCTGCAATTGAATCTATCCTGCTTTAAAATAAAGCATGTTGATCAACAAGAAAATCCTTCAGCTTTCTGAAATGATAAGGGTTTGAAACATCTGTGAAGATGGAGAAGATGACATTCTCTTCTTTAATATAAAATTGTTGCTGACTTAAGTAGATTGTTTTTTTCATCAGGAAAATCAAAGTTGAAAAGCAGAATGAAAATCTGTGTGTCCCTGACAGACTTTTCTTTGTGGGAGATAGGGTATTAGTAGATTTTTAAAGGAAAGCAAGTGAATGATATTGTGCCAGTTCTTCTTAAGTTGTCACAGAACTGGTTGACTCTATTTTTTTTCTTTTTAATTCTCTTTCTTCCTCCTGCTAAACTCAGATGTAAACCAGAAGATGCAGTCTGACATAAGAACCTTGATGAGAATGGTTACTGTATCTGACCTTCAAACTTCAAAGTCATGCTGCACTTCTGTATTTGCCTACAGAACCATTTACCACATTTGCTTTGTAATAAATACATCAGCAGGCCTCCTTTGTTAAAAAAAAGCATATTTTTGAAACACCTAACAGGCATTTGATTAATTAGGTGGTTGAGCTCTTCAAAATGAAGTTGCTGAGGAAAGACATTGTTTTGATAACTGATCTAACAACTTGAGGCTGATATGTGTGTGTTTTATTTTCCTGCTCCTCTCTGTAGTCATACTGACATCTAAAGGACATCTGACTCAGTAATTAAGTTTCTTGTAGTGTTCATATTGCACTGTTTTTTGTTTTCTTATTATCTGGAGGAACAGGCTATAATTAATGCATTCTAGCTAAGGAGGAAATAGTAATTAAAAGTACTTCAGAAGAATCTTTCCTCTAAAACTGTCACTGGCATACAGAAGCTGTGAAAGACTGGGAAAATACGATGGCTCCAAGGGTATTTTTTATGCAGGAACTTAGTGTGGTCTGCAGTGGATCTAGCCAGCTGATACCCTGTAAATAATAATAACAACCAAGTTCTTAATGTAGTTTGCAATGGATCTAGCCAGCTGATACCCTGTAAATAATAATAATAACAACCAAGTTAACCATATCTAGATGATCGGTGCAACAGTGTGTTTAGGACCCATTGTGTTGGGTGCTGGTGCATTCAGTGGTGGTTGTTTAATGGGTAAATGCATCATTGCAAGGCTCTGACAGTACCTGAACATTTCTGTAATAAGCTTTCCCATCTGCTGATGGAAATAATACACTGTTTTGGAAAGGCTGGACTGGAATAAGGTTTCTTGCTGGCCTATTTTTCCTGCTATTTTTCCACTCTCATGCTCCAGCTGTGCCTTAGCTGGACTCTTAGGCTTCAGAAAAGACCAGTTGCTCCCATTTCCAGGGCTGAGTTGCTGTGGTTCTCTGTCTGCTCCCAGCTCTGCTGCCCAGGCTTCTGCCCTGGGAGCTTTCCAGGAGGGTTTGTGAGGTGACATGGAAGAGCCAGCGGTGGCTGGTACCTGCCGGTGGAAGTGTCTGTGTGCATGATGTCTTTATCCTGCAAACACTCCCACGGGTGTCTCCTCTGAGGGCCAGCTCTCCTAGTGAAACTGGCGGTCTGGCATTCCTCTTGGGATCAGGGCTTAGGGAGGTCAGGTACCCTCCAGTGCTGTGGTGCAGTGGAGTTACTGAGGGTACCCTGGGCTTTGATACAATCGTGACCTCTCGTATCTCTCTGCCCAGAAGGAGAAGCAATGCAAGTGGTTGATTAGAAAGAGGTAATATGTGGTTTTAAAGTCAGAGATGTGCTGAGTAGTGGCAGAAGTGGAAGGCTGGCAGCCAGAAATCATGGACTCTGCCCGCACCTCTCTAAAGGACTCAGTGTTGAAGTGCTTTCAGCCCAGTTTTTTTTAGCTTCTCTATTTGAACAGCAGGAAAAGTAGCACAACTTTTACACCAGGGAGTTCAGAAAGCTGCTGCATGTGAAGCGCTCTTGGTTTTGAATGTACCATATAAAATAGTGTATATTAATTTATTTTTCTCATCAGTGGAATAAAACTTGATATAAACTGGTATATCTGTTGTTGGATGTCAGTTGGATGCTGGCATTTTGTAGGTTTCTGCCAAACATCCACAGATTGCACTCTCCATAATAATCAAGCCAATCTGAATGTATGGGAACTGGTCAGGGAACTGGTATGAGCTGGGATGTGTGTGTGTGTGTGTACAAAGTGCAGAGTACAAATTTACTCCTGAGAACTAATTGTCATCCTAAACTGCCTTTTGTTAAAAATAAGTTATTCTTTCTAGACGTAAATAAAATTTATTTATAGTCTGTTAATTTTAAGAAAAGGCTAATAAACAGCTGTTCAGTGATCACAGACTTCTGTTGAACAGCAGATCATTTTTTCTTGCTTTTCAGCAGTGTAGTTGTGAGGTGTTACTGTTTGGTTTTCTGGAGGGTTTGAGTTGAGGTTGCATTTGTGGATGTGTAGTTTTATACAGACTGTTCTGGGTCTGAGGTGTTATCTGCTGTGTTTCATGTAAGGTTGAACCACAATCTGACTTTTTTGGGGGAAAGGTTTAGGAGGTATTCTACCATGGAAAAGCTAATGTCTTAATGACAGCCATGTGACTGCTGCTATATTTAGGAGAACTAAGAAGCTTCATGTTCTAGTACTTAGATCTTTTAGGACTACTTTATGAACTTGTAATCTAGAGCTATAACTTATTTAAAAAATGAATCCAGGTAAAAGAATTGAGATCTGAACTTATTGTCCATATTTTGGTTGGATACTGCAAGTTTAACTCAGGAAGTGGAGAAAGTAAGGTCCCTACACTGTGAAGCTGAGTTTTAAATTTTTGTAGAATTTCAGTCTTTTTTGTAGCTTGAAATGGCATTAGACTGGTTAGAAGTGTCAGGTTAATTATTTTGTGATTCAGAAGCTGCTTTGCTTCTAAAATCCTATCTTTGGCTTTAAGTGAAAACATAATTGCATTCCCTATTCTTATACAGTATTAGTTTTGTGACTTGTTAATAAGATGATTTGATTTTGTTGTTTATATTGCATAGGTATCTTACATGCTAACACAGCCATGGAAACAGCCAATATATTTGTGTTCTGGGGGTTAAATCAGGGCACATTTTGAGATAACAGGAAGAAACTGGAACATTTAGATTTGGCTTGTTCTATGTATTTGATGCTAGTTTTCATTTTTATCTCTATTGATAGTTGTATTTGTGATTTAGAAAAGGGCTTGTCTAATTATAGCAACTGGAGCTTACCAGAAAAAGCTGTTGAGAATTCCAAGCACTTTGCTTTTTCTTTTCTACTTCTGTGTGAGTTGCCACGCTGACGCAAGAGTGTAAGGGAGGTAACAAAGGCTGATAAGGTGAACTTGAAAGAGAACTATAGTGATAAAAAGAAGCTTTTGGAGATGTTTTGGTTCTGGGAAAACTAACTTTCCTTCCAATGGCTCCAGTTTGAATTGCTTTTAGAAAGAAACTAGAACAATGTTCTTTAGGATGCATTGAAAGAATAATAGACCTCAAAATGTGTGGTGATGAAAGTGAGGGAAGATGGAGGGCACCACCAATACCATGATGAGGTCAGTGACTTGTTTAAATCTGTGCTCTTGTTGGAAAAATGTAAACTGTCCCCTAGTGAAATTTTTCTTTGATTGGTTTTGTTGATGTTTTGGTTCTGGGAAAACTAACTTTCCTTCCAATGGCTCCAGTTTGAATTGCTTTTAGAAAGAAACTAGAACAATGTTCTTTAGGATGCATTGAAAGAATAATAGACCTCAAAATGTGTGGTGATGAAAGTGAGGGAAGATGGAGGGCACCACCAATACCATGATGAGGTCAGTGACTTGTTTAAATCTGTGCTCTTGTTGGAAAAATGTAAACTGTCCCCTAGTGAAATTTTTCTTTGATTGGTTTTGTTCAGTTTGTTGTTGTTCTTGTTTGGTTTTTTTTTTTTTTTTTTTGTTTTTTCCTACTGAAGAAAGCTTTGGAAGATGGATTAAATAGTTCTCATTTCATCTCTAGTAGAACTGAATTGCGTGGTGTTTATGCAGTGCTGATATGGTCATACACTAGGCTGTCATCATTGGTCTCATACTTCTGTTATCCAGTTGTGCAGCATCTGTTCTGGATGTTGAAAATGGTTTTATCACCATACACCATATCACCATATTTTGATGTATCAAAAAATATATATATATTTGATATATATACCATATGGTGATATATCAATATATCACCATACTTTATCACCATATCACCACAACCAATTTTTCAAGACAGAGTTGTGGAGTGGTTGTCTGTGTTATCCTTCTGTTGATCTCTGTCATCGGTTTTTTAAGAAAAAATGGTAAGCCCCTTTTTGAGCTGGGTTTGTTTTTGCATATTAGTTACTAAAGAAAATAAAAATCTTGTCTCTATGCTTCTGCACCTTTTCTTTGTTATTTATCTTTATATAGGTAGGTCCTGGACAAAATCACAGCTATTTTCACAAGCTATGAGTTGCTTATATTTTGTTTTTAAAACAGCTGTTAAAAAAGAGTAATTCATTTAGGTCCTATTCTTAGCAGACAGTGAAAGACAGCAATCTTTTTCAAGTTTTGTTGTTTTGGTTTTTTTTAAAGTAGA